TTTATATAACCGTCGCATTCTGTTCGCTAAATGATTGAATTGAATACCAAAAACCTGATCGACTGAGTGCGTAAAACAGTTGGGATAAATTTTGCAGATTGATCGCACTTAATAAAAGCACATGATGCTTTGACCCGCATGGTGATCATAACTGTGATTAGTGAAGTACTTTCATATACGGTGTTTAATGTGCAGCCAAACAGCCAGTGAAAGGAGGCCAGTAAAGTAATTGCTGTGTAAGAGATCGATTTAGGTACTTAAGGAGCAAGAATGTGCAGAAGAGACGGCAGAGTCATTAAAGTGGTCATTGTTTGTGTTCTTTCAAGGAGGCTGCCAAAACGGTTCGTTACGCGGCCGGCCGGTCGCGGACGTTTCTATGACCTTATGGTCGAGGTTGCTGGACATGCAATTAGCCGCAAGTCCATTACGGTCGCATTGTGCGCAGCGTCTCGGCAAACATTTCCTCTCCGTGTCACTTATCGTTCGTTTCAGCGGCTAATCGCCGAGCACAATGCGCACCGGTCCGCTTAAACGTCTTCCTTCCTCTTCTTTATTCGTGGTCAATCGCCGGTCAGCCGGCAGCATATGGATGTTGTAAAATTAGCCGCGTTTGGTCGCTCTCGCTCGCTAGCCGGGGACGTCTCTACTCGACCGTGTCCGCCCATTCAACAACAGCAGCAGCAACAGCAGCATGCCGGTCGCTCGACGGACCAGTGGCATGGCCCAGTTGTACGGTTGTCGACGGTCAGCGGCCTACGCGTGTAAACACCGAGTCGGTGGCGCAGGAATGCACCGTCCTCCGTTTCGTAGTGATCGCTGAAAGCGGGGACACTCGAGGACCACTTGCTTTTCAGATTGGCCCTGTTCAGGCGGCCACTTGTGCCGAAAGCGGACGACGTCCCCTTTGAGGTGCGGCCAACGGCTGCTGCGAACGCGACACCTGACCATGAGCGCCGTGCCGGTTCGCGCATCTTCTGCGTTCGAATCAGAAAGGCTCTTGTTCGGTGGCTTCAAGCACCGATTCACCAGGACCGTTGCCGTTGCCGTTGCCGCACAAAGTCGTACAGGCCGGCCGTCGGGCGCAGGTGTCAATTGACTCCCGCTGTTAATGCTGGACATCAGCGATTAACTGACCATTGAAACCGGTCATCGCTGGCCGCTAAATCAGATTAG